GTGGTTATACTCAAAAAAGAGCTTGGTGTTGCTCTCTGGCATGCAATGCTTTCATTACAAGCTTATATTCTACCCCCCCCTCCCAAAACCCCCGCACCCCGCCCCACCCTACCCCACCCCACCACCCCCAAACACTAAAATGGCGACCAACATTGTGTGGCACGACGGCGCGATCAAGAAGGAGCACCGCTACACAATGCTCAAACAGAAGGGCGCAACGGTGTGGCTCACGGGACTCTCCGGGTCCGGCAAGTCGACGGTGTCTGTCGCGCTGGAGCAGATGATGTTCAAGAAGGGCTACCTGGTGTACCGTCTGGACGGCGACAACATCCGCTTCGGCCTCAACTCCAACCTCGGCTTCTCCGCCGCGGACCGCAAGGAGAACATCCGCCGCATCTCGGAGGTCGCCAAGCTCATGGGCGACATCGGCGTCATCTCCACCTCGGCCTTCATCTCGCCGTACATTGCCGACCGCGTTGTCGCCCGCGAGATCCACAAGAAGGCGGGCATCCCGTTCGTCGAGGTCCACGTCGACGTCCCGCTCTCAGTCGCCGAGCAGCGCGACCCCAAGGGCCTGTACAAGAAGGCCCGCAAGGGAGAGATCAAGAACTTCACCGGTATTGACGATCCGTATGAGGCCCCGATCAGGCCCGAGGTCAAGATCGATACTTCCCAGCTCAGTGTCAATGAGTGCGCCAAGGCTATCCTTGACTATCTTGTCGCTGAGGGCATTATTCAGCCCAGGGAGGAGGAACCTGTTCCTCTTCCCGCGAAGAAGCCCGTGCAGGCAGAAGCCGCCGAGGCTAACGGTGCCCCAGTTGTCAACGGCTCCACCTGATTTCGTGCATACTTGTTTTTGGGTCATCGCCTTATGTCAGACGATCGCTCATTAGCTTTCCGACCGCTCCTCACTTGTCTCAAGGGGGCAACTTGTAGTCACTCTATGACAAAGTTACATAAACACATAAAAGAAACTCATTCCGCACATTCTCGTATCAATGTACACATCACAACGTAAAAAACCATACTCACACAGACTCTCCCTGTTTACAGAAATCAAACTATTACGAATTCGCGCTACACAACCACTTCTCACTCGGTCGGCCCCCCAAACAGCCTCGGAACCGGCCCGTTCGGCGCGCCCCAATACTCCACTGCCTTAACCCCTTCAACCAAAACGGTGCGATAGTTGCTAACAAACGCCTTACCCTCCTCCTCGCCACAGGTTGCGCGTCCGGTCGTCGGCATGGCATTCCTCTCCTTGAGCGCGTCGAGCTGCATCTCTCGTTCCTTGCGGACGCTCTGCGCGTACTCCAGGAACGCGCCGGTAGAGGCCGCGTCGACGTTGTCCAGCGCCTGCGCGGCGTCCTCGCGCACCGGCATCAGGTCGGCGACGTCGGCCACGCCGATGGAGCTCGTCTCGCCCTCCCAGTTGCGCGGCAGCACCGTCGCGAAGCCGCGCTGCTCGTACGTCTCCACCGGCCTCGGCACGTAGTCGCGCAGCGGCGCGTTGTCGCGCACGTCCTCGCCCGGCGGCACGCCCGGGATCAGGTCCAGGCCCGCTCGTGGCGCGCGCCGCGGGAGAGGGGGCGCCGTGCGGCAGAGGCTCTGCGGGCGCGCGAGAGAGGTGCGGACGGGGATGGAGGGGACGAAGCAGGGGGTCGTCATGGCGGTTGGGGTGGAGAGGTTGGCGGCAGGGGGATGGTGAGGTGGGAGAGAAAGGTTGGTTGGGGAGGTGCATCGAGTAATCTGTGAGAGGGAGGCCTGTGCCAAGAAGGCAGAAAACGAGATAATTTAAGACTAGGGTATTGCAACCAAGCTGCGAGCTACGAGGTCGTAATTGGCGCGTACCCCCCTTCCGGCGCGACTAATCCCACCTTGGCATCCATCGCAGCGCTTTGAGTTCGTCGTAGCTCCTCTCCAACGCGTAAGTCCACGCGCGCCAGTACCAGAACGCGGCGGCCATAGCCGCCACTACCGCCACGCAGAGCGCGGTGCGCACGCGCCGGCTTGGCACCGTCTGGAGCGCCACGCCCGCCAAAAGGCTCGCCAGCTGCAGGGCGGGCAGCACGTGGTACAGGAACGTGCACCTCCGCACGCCGATGTAAGGCACGAGGTTGAGCACCCATCCGGAGACGAGAACGAAGACGACGCCCGCGCGCTTGCGCACGGCCGACAGCGCCCCGGACATGCGGCCCCGCCACAGAATCACGGGCGTCGCCAGGAGGAGGGACAACCCGAACAGCACCCCGCACCCGCTCACTACCGTCAGGACAGGGTTGGAGATGAGGTAGATCATCTCCCGGTTGCCACTGCCCGCGTCTTCGTCGATGTAGAGAATGCCACGCGCGTTGTACAGCCACTCGTGCCACGCGCTCTCCCAGTGATGCCGCATCTCGATCGCGCTGTTCGCGCGCAGCATCTCCCAGTTAAGGTACCGAAAGTTCTCCACAAACCCCGGCGCCGCCACTTTGCTTGCGTCGTTCTGCCTGTAGTACTCGCTGCCCACCAGCGTTTGCTGAAACTCGATCGGCATGAATGCATCCCCGGGGCCAGATAAGGGGAGCAGCCGAAAATGAACCCAGAACGTGCCCATGTAGATCCCGATGGCTAATGCGCCCGCGTACGCCATCTCCAGCAAGTCGAGGGGTCCCTCCAGCGGAAAGATGGCTCCCGTCAGGGACACCAGCGCGATCAAGCCGGGCGTCACGATCGCCGTCCACTTCGTGGACACCGCGCACGCCCCGAACACCGCCGTCAACGTCAGCCACATGTATCTCTTCGGCGTCGACTTGGGCGTAGCCCACAAATACAGCGCGCACAACAACGCCAGCTGGCTGTACAGCACCAGCTGCGAGTCCGTCAGTATCAGCCGGCTCTCGATGCACAGCAGCATGTCGAGTAGCGGCATGGCGCCGACCGTCGCGCTGACGAGCGGGTCAAGTCCCAGCGCACGCGCGATGAGGTACATCACCGACGGGATCAGGCTGCCGACGGAGGCGGACACCACGCGCTGCGGGTAATACACGAGGTCACCGTACGGCTGCCCTAGGTTATTGAACGTGTAGTTCCGGTTGACGTACCCACCAAGCTTGGCAGCTAGCGAGAGCGTCAGCTTGCCGAAGGGGGGGTGAATGTCGAACAGATATTTCCCGGACAGGTAGTTGTCGACGAATGCCGCAAAGTGCCACTCATCGAACACTGCGCGTCGCACCGCGCATGCAGCGATCGTCAGTGGGCTGTCTGGTGCCCTGTGTTGTGTCAAGGGGGGCGATGGGGGGACCGGTGGCTACGCGCGGTTTGTCACGTACCGATCTTGGCCGGCACGGCCAGCCGGTAGAAGCGCGTCGCCAGCGCGACTAGAAGGAGCATCGCCGCGACGAGCAGATCCACGCGCCACGCGCGCCGCTCGTCGGGCGAGCGCGCTGGGTCGCCGCGCAGCTTGCGCACGCCCAGCACTTCTAGCACAGCCGCCGCCGCACCGCTAGAGGTCCGCCCGCGCGCGGACGACTTCGGCTTCAACGGACGCGACCCGCCGCCGGACTTACGCCGCTGCCGGAGCGTGGAGGTGGGCATGGCGACGGGAGTGAGGGGAGAAAGGCAATGGATGCGGCTTGGTGGCGGGCAGTTCTGGTCTGACGGCGGGGTACGATGCGCATTGCGATACACCGATGGTGATGATCATTTTCGCAGAAACACGTCATACAGTACAGTCACCAACTTCGATGTCGATGAGAAAGTCTTCTCTATGAGATGCTGCCCACTTCACTCAGCCGCACGGCCGTCTCGAGTACCCTCCTCTCCTCCTCACTCTCTTCCCTCGTCCTCTCTCTTCCCCGCAAAACCCTGCGCTCCCTTTGCCGCACGCCATACGCCGGCGCCGACCTCGGCATCCCCGCCACCTCCTCTCCCTCGTCCTCCTCCCCGTCAGCGCCCCTGTTCCCCGCGTCGTCCGCCGCCATCCTTGTCGCGCGCTCCGCCTCGCGCTTCCTGTTGAGTCTCGCTGCCTCCGCGAGGGCCCCGTCCACGTCGGGCAACTCCTCGCGCGACTTCCTCACGGCCCCCTCCTCCTTCGCCGCACCCAGCACTGTCCGGCTCGCCCTCACCCCCGCCTGCGCATCCGGCGACCGCTCCAGCGACCACTCCAGCGATTGGAACAGCTTGTGGAACACCCGCACCATCTCCCGCATTTCCGCTGTGGACAGCAGGTCATCCGCACGCGTTTTCGGCCTCTCTGCCCGCCGCACGAGCGGCTCCGTTTCCCTCTCCTCCTCGCTGCGCACTCGCGATGCGCCGCCGTCGGAGCCGCCATCGCTGTGCTCAGATACCGATGGCTGGTCGCTGTAGCGTCCACCGCGTGTCCGCGTAGACGACGGTTGTGTCGAAGCCATCGCCCCTTTGGCCATCCGCTGGACATTGTCGGCCACGTCGTCAGAGTCCGCGTCGTCATACACTGAAAACCCGTGGTGCGGTTTGCTTGCTTTGTCCTTTCTGTACTGTGCCCCGGAAGGAATGTCGTCTTCGTCGTGTGCGCCCTCGTCAGCCGAGGTTTTGCGTCTTCCCTTGCCGCCTTTCTCGTCAAGGCCAAGAAATCGCCTCACTGCCTCGAAGAAACCTCCAGCAAGTGCATGCTGAGACGCCGTTCGCTCGCCCTTGCCAGAGTGTTCCCTTTCGTTCGGAAAATCAGCAGGCGCAACCGTCCGCGCCTTGAGGTCCGCGGTGTCGTCGTCTTTCTCGTCAATGCCATAGTCGCGACGCCATGACTCGGACACGGGCGGGGCGTCCTCGTCGATGTCACGCTGAGGGGGGAGTGGCCGCGAAGAGAGACGCGAAGGTTTAGTGGCAGTGCGTCGGCGGGGGGGATGGGAAGCGGGATCGTCGTCTAGGGGTGTTGCGAGAGCGAGACGGAAAACAAGAAGCAGGGCTAGTAGCCGGAAAGCAGTGGCTTCGAATGCCATCAGTGAGGGTCTCACCGCTTTTGCACAGAGTGGCGTGTGGGATCCTGGGAGCCCATGTAGAACTTGCTGAATGAGGGTAAAGACTGCCACACCTCATGCAGTTTCTTGAAGGTCAGGTCGTAGTGAGAATGGCTCTGTTGAGAAATTGAGTTGTGGTGGTGCGTTTCGCATTAATTCGAGTACAGACACAAATTAAACATGAACCCCATTGCTTGTAGAGCAGAGCAGTCCCTGGTTAAGGTGATGGGGACCGCGAGCTTTGCGGACCGATGTCCATGCAGCGAGAGTTTTGATGACATTAATTCCAATTGTCCAGCTTCTGATTTATGGATATGTATCTTCACTTTCATTGTCTCTAGCTAGATCTCGCGACCTTTCCTCCAGCTTGCTGGGAAGAGCTGCACATCGTCTGAAAATGTATATGTTAAGATAACATATCTTTTAGACAATAACGCATCCCTGTTTCCGAAAACTTCTGAATCAGCTGAAGCTGGGGACGTACAGTGTGAGAGGTCGATACAACACGTTCTCCAAATACATCAGTACGTCTGCTCTCAGGTACGTTCAGACACTTACACCATTGCCTCGGCGACGACGGCAAAAAAAAGAATGAGGTGGCTCAGCGCTCCTTATAAGAATATAGTATCGAATCTACATCAAGCTCTATGGACCGTATAGAAGAAAAAAGGAATCACCTTGTTCGATCTTCCATAGCGCCCCTGCACTCGATATGTGTAGCTGCATCAGTGTGCAATCATATCAAGGAATTTGGCGGGGGCAAATGCAGCAAGTCATGAAACCGTTACAAATCCCGAGGATGAGTCGAAAACAAGTGTCCGTCTCACTTTCATATAAGCGATGTAAAAATACTACAGTATCTTGTCTTAGGATGTCCAAAAATGCGAGGCTCCTTCTTCGCGACATCCTACAGAGAAAAAGAAGAACCATACTCCCACTGCATGATGTTTTGAACGGTTTCTTCTAGAATCTATTTAACAGAAGTCCGACAAGTGAAGACCCGCACCCATTGTCCCTCGATTTTACCCGCATGGATTCCCGTCGGAGGGTTTACTGCTTGTTTGGCAGTCTGAGAGCATAATGGGGTACCGGAAATCCCTCGTCTGCCGCCAAGGCCCGTAAATGAAGCGTGACTCCACTTGCAGTTTTCAGTATGCATAATGCCTGGGGATCGAAAAGTTGTCCTCCTGGCCAATTATCGCCTTCTGTGGGTATACGCACCAAGCAGATGCGGATGCAGAGAAAAACAAAACAAACAGAGACCCTCTAACTAGGATTGGGCAGCGTGCTTAATCTCGGCTGCTATAAAAACAAAGACACAAACTTGCTATGAGAACTCTTTGAATTACGAATATCAATGCGCCCGTGTCGAGTTGTCAAGACATTAACCTTCCATCAAAGCTCAAAAGGGTGGTGTGTTATAAAAATAAAAATAAAAATTTAAAATCACACTGCATCGCCCTCATCCCCTCCTCCGTTCTTCTTCGTGTTAAAAATTGAAGGTTCCAGTGGAGGAAATCCCTCTTCCCTTATTTATTGTCCATTGTGACGGAAATAACCTTTTGCTCTCAAAACACGGCCTCTTGTCCATGGCATGATCTCTAAATTGTGCTGAGAGCATATGGGAAGTGGGTATGTACTTACCGTACTGAGACCCCTGATTACCTTTGCTGCTTGATTTGAAAGTCGCTCGGGCCAAATGATAAGCGTTTGTGAATGGAGAGCGGCTGCAGTTGTTTGATGGACGTCCGAGAATTCTGTAAATTCTGTGGCTACGGAAACCACCGTAGTTGAAGTTAGAGAGGTAGAAGCATTACTCAATACTATTGTAGAGATATCGGATTGTTTTCATCAGCTGCAGTATCATACGTAGCTGTCGAAAACTGTCTTCCGATTCTTGCCCTTCAGGCAAACAGAAAGAGCTTGAGGATTCATCTCCCTTATTAAGGGCGACTACGAGAGTCAAGGCAAGAACCAGGTGTAAACGACGATGACAATCCACGGTAAAAATATCTATTTCATTTAAAACGAGAAAACATGTATATGTGTCCTTGAAAGGCAAGGCCATGGTTGATAAAGTCCTGTACCTTGATGTCAATGAGGTGATCATAGTTGAGGTTTAGACACACATCAGCATTGGGAACCAAAGTCGCTTGCGCCACGGATCCTTCCAAGCATTGAAGGGCAACCACGTTGCTCTTCGAGCGAAGAGAAAACACTGCCGTGAAAAAGCAAGGACAAGGAGGTACGACTGTCGTAGTACGACATCGTAGTACGACATGAGACCAGATCATTTCTTTTCTTCGAGAGTTGCATGAAACTAGGGTTACAGCTACGTAGATCGAATCCGAAGACACGAAATTCGCACCGGTGTCTACAAAACTGCATCGACTGCTTTTGTGGAAGTTGGGCAATTGGGACTTTACGTCATGCGCACGCAACGCCCGTGAAATGACCACGAAGCATGTGAATTTGAAGGAACAGGGGGATTAGCTAGTACTGTATATGAGTTACGAACAATCCGCTTGCAGATGTATGGATGAGCAGTTGTTTATGCCCTGGAAGATGCCTGAAAGCACAAGACATTTGAAAATGTGTCCGGATGACGGCGAAGCGGGTGTGAAGTCGTGTAGGATTTTACTGTAGTAGTGTATTGGGGTTGAGTCATGGAAGGTGAGGATGTCCAGCCACTGCTGTTCACAGCAACGGCAGTCTGGTGAGGGTTCACATGCCCTCACCAGACTGCCGTTGCGGCTTTCGTATGTGTGCTTATTCGTCTCAGCCGCTGTATACCAATTACAGCAATCCAACAATAGAGCTGTACATGAGTACAGTATACCGTAGAGCAGATTGGAGAATGTTGGGAGTTAGCAGCTGCCTGGACGACAATTGACCTCATATGAGGCTACTTTTCAACTTATTCTTTCTCGACTTGTGCTTGCTCAACAACAAGGAAAAAGGTACTCTCGCCACCGCAGTTGACCTGTGCGTTGCGGAAGGATTTCTACAGTACTAGTGTCGAGTGTCTATTGGACCTTTGTCCCCATATGAGGGCATTATTCGACCTATTTTTGACTTGCGCTTCCTCGACATGAAAGAAAAAGATACCCCCGTCACTGTACTTGACCTCTGGCTTAAGTTAAAAAGTAGGCTCATCTGAGGTCAATTGTCGTCTAGACACTAGAGCGCAGCTCTTCATCCCACGGGCGGGATCGCAGTCTCCCCGTGATGAAGGTTTGTGGGTAAGCTCACACGTTGCTTAAGCTTTGGTATTGCTTTACTACGGTATGACGCCCCGCCCTTTCTCGTGAACCTCGTTTAGGAAAACCATCAACATGGATGGGTTGCGGCAAGATGGCCAAAAGCTTCAGGCCTGACAGAGGTACTGATGTTTGTACTCCCTCCCCACTCTCTAGACATGGGCGACCGGCATTGACTCTAAGATGGACAATGCCGGGCTGTGATCATAGAGTGAAGCCTGGAAGTGGTGTGGTGTTAAGTATTCGACCTATTTTAAAAAATGGATATGGACATGCCGAATACTGTATGCTGCATAACGGAGCTATTGAATCCGAAGAGCAATGCCGTACCCTTCCTGAAAGGGGCAATTTGGTAATCGGGGGCAATTTGGTAATTTTTATTATTCCCCTACAGGGGGGTACCCTATTTAGTGCTACCCCGTGTAGCGTGATAAAATAGGCACTAAATCGGGTTTGGCACAAGAACGGTAACTTAACAAGAAGACTGAATATAGTATTTAACTAAGGAAACTCGTCATGGTCGTCTGTTTCTGCTTCTTCTGTGGCTTGAGAGCCTCAAATATGATGCGTCTAGCCTTGCGCAAATGTGAAGACGCATCAGGTAGCGAGAGAGCTACCGCTGCCGCCTCTAATTTTGAGAACTCATTCGCTGCTTCGATCAAAGAGAGAGAACGAGCCTGACTAGCATTAGAAATCTCCTCCATCATGCCTATCGGAACTGTAACGGACACAGAAAATCTACCAGTTTTCATATCTTAGTACCAAGCAGAGTGGTGCCCTGTAGCCTGCTGGATGGGCCCGGGGGGCACTTGTTTATCATACCTTTTGGTGTAGAGCCGTTAGAGTAGCACTAAACCGGGACATACACTATATATAGAGGCACTAAATCGGGTACCCCCCTGTACCAGTTTACCTCAAACGCACGTACAAGTTGCTGACAATAGTCGTACAACCCGGTCCGTCTTCCCTCGTTGCTGCGGACGGGAAAAGTCCGCCAAAATTCAAACGTTTGCACTCCCACAGTGCCTTTACGCTCGCCCATCTGCTTCCTGCAGCTCTGACATCATGACTGTGACCTCGGGTTTCAGGGAACCATGGGTCTGTCTATGCGCATGCAGAGAGCGATTGAGAAAAAACACAAGAACGCGACGCCATAATGAAAGAACAAAGAACAAAGGGCACTTCCCTCCTCCGTGACGGCAAAAAGAGTTCTGCCGTTGTGAAAATTACAAAAGTACCCCGAGCGACAATTGATCGCATTTATCGTGCCTTGAAGGCCGATGATGACCTTACACTCGATGCCCCTTTGTCCTCAGAAGCTAACCGCAGAGGTCGACGTACAGTTATCAGCCAACAAGAGTCCGTGTTGATAAAAAAGAGGATCAAATTTGCTGCCGAGAAGGGATTCGCACTCTCCAACGGCGATGTCAGAAAATAATGACCGGCATAGCGTCCGATGGGCGTGCCGGATTCCAGACGGAGTCGGGTAGTCCGTCTCAGGACACGATATGGCACTGGCGGGCGATCAACAGAGACGTAACATACCGAAAAGCCGAGAACAAAGACATAGCAAAGTTGAAGGCCGAAATGTTCGGACATGTATCAACTTTTTCAGACGCATTGAAAAAGGTCGAGCATGCCAATCCCGATATTTTTCGGGACCCCGCCCGGCTTTGGAACGTCGACGAGACGGCAGTCGACTGCCAATACGGCGAACGGAAGAAGGATTTCGGGTCCTGTGCGACTCACCATGGCGGATACATGGCTGGTCAGGCCCGAAAAACCAACAAACACATCACACTCGTAGTGGCAGTTTCTG